AGCTCAGTTTCAGTGCACTCAGCTGGTACCAGAGAACCAAGTGTGAGCCAAATCTGTCCCATATGTGGTTGTGATTTTGCTAGGGCTTTAAGGGTGTAAACTTGGCCTGATTTGGGCTAAAAATAAGCTCCAGGTAGCAGCAGCAGTGGGTCAGGTTTGGGCTGGTTTTGGCACCTGGAAATGGACCGGTATATGTAGGCCTGTTGTGGAGTTTATTTGTTACATGTCAGACATAACATCAGCGGGGCTGGTATACATTTCTCTATACTAGTGGCAATACCGTACCTGTACCAAAACAGCATTTTCCCCCATTTTTGTCTTATGTTTTTTAGATTTTCATTTAACAAAAATAAATAAATAAAATTATTTTATCTGACTTTACAACGTACATTTTCTCTTTGCATTTGCTTCTGGTCTGTACCCCAAAAGAGTGCTCAAATGCATGCCAGACTTATGTCACCAGTATACTCTGTCAGAAGTGCTTGTCGCAGGGTTGAATGACTTTGAACCCCCCTACCCGGACACCTTTTTGATGTTTGATTCCAAGTGACTGTGTACAACAACTTGTGTATCTGTCCAACACCCATCTGAGCATTTCAGTACAGACTGTCTGAAAATGTGCACTATCATTGAAACAATAATTTCTTTGTCTCCCTCTCTGTGTCGGCTGGGTTTCCACTCCACCTTTGAGTGCGGCCATGTGGAACAACTATAAACACTTTTGCTTTGAAGCCCCACAAGGAATACTGCAATACATCCTACAAAGTAGTTTTTTCCCCAAAGCTAGAAGCTTTGAAGAAGGCACATTGGTGCTGAAACTTTTGGTATGAAGTCTGTGCTTCTTGCCCATCAAAGTGCTCCTGCGTCTTTGCTAGTATCTTTTCTTGCCTACTGTTCACGATTATAAAGACATCTTATGCAGCTGAGCACATGCACCCTTGCAGTTTGAGGGTTAACCATACCCTAGGATTTTGTCCATCTTAGCCTGACCTGTCCACTCCTGGGCCTTTCTGCTTTGACTGCCTGGGTCTCACTGTGGGTGAAACACAGAGGAACAATTAACGTCATGAATATTAACCATGAATATGCGTTGAAGTTAATGTACACATATAGGTTGCTGCTATCTGTTTGGTTGGGAGCATACTGTTTTCTTTGCTTCCTGTTTCCTTTGAGAAATTAAATGAGTTCCAGTGAATGGCTGCTCAGCTTGCTCACACTGTGAATGTGACATAGTCAAGGGTCAAAAGTCTTCGACTTACCTTTCCTACCCTGATTTTACATAAAAGTGAAGTGCTTAGGTGAAGAAGTGAGACCCAGATGAGTACAAATGAATTTGGTTTTGTTTAGGGGTTTAAATACAGTCAAGGTTGGGGGTTAACAAATGTAGGTCAAAGGACTGTGTGTGTAGCCAGGCTTGTATGCAAGTGTGTAACTGTGTGCATGTGATTATATGCACTGTATGCTCTATACTTCACTTTTTTGTGTTAAATCTCCTGTTTGCATCATGTGTGTACGATGTGTATATGTGTGTGTGACCTGTTCTTTATTCATGTGCTCGGTGCAATAAGGAGAGTGGACTGTTGACGAGGATTAATGCCCAACATATGGCAACCCTACGGGACACACACACACACACACACACACACACACTGCAGTCATTACTCTGAACAAAGAACTGTAAGGTGAAGGCGATATCATATGTCCTTTGCACGCACAAACAGATACACGGCATAGATTCACATGAATACACACACCCCTTAATGTTGTTTATACTATAGATGCAGATGAACACACACACACACATACACACACACACCTGGTACTGTAACATATATCCATTGTGAGTGTATGTGAGATGAAAGGTAGCAAGGGGGTTGTTGTTAGAAAGACTTTTTGAATGCAAACACCTGTATGTGTGTGTAACAAAGAGGAAGAACCCTGTTTATTGTATTAGTGTGTGTGTGTGTGAGATAGAAGGAGAAAGACGGAGAGGTGAAGCAGAGTTCAGAGGAAAAGTGAAGGTTCTTGTTTTCGTTTCTTCATCATCCTCTGCCTCTCTCTCTCTCTCTCTCTCTCGCTCACTGTGTGTCATTTTCTCACATACAGGATCACACCCCAAAACATTTTCAGACCTTTTCTCTCCGCATCTTTTTACGCATTTTCTCTTTCCACCACCTTCCCACTGGGATCTGACAGATTCTGACCAATATACTCACGTATTCCTGAAAATCCCTGTTCAACATTACACCACAGCAGACATTATTTGTAATAGATTCTATGATTATTTCCCCAATTAGATTAATCAAATCAGAAAAATTAGATGGAAGATTGTCTGCAAAGACACAGATTATCTTATGGAAAAACAAATAATGAGATACTATCAATGTTCTGTAAACGGCCCTTTAAAAGATTAGATTGAAATCCTTGAAACCTCTTCATTTAAAGACGCCCTACTTCATTTCTTGTCAGCTGCTAGACGGTATATTGAGTTTTACCTGACACCATAAACCACTCTTAACCGCTCCTTGCCCCTCCCATCACATCTTGTTTCATAGCGAGGACGTAAACTATGGATGCCCAGTTGCAACAAACTGTACAGAGTGTACTTTGACAACGCAGGGTAGAGAAGCTGGAATAACAACAGAAGACAGCAGTGTCATGGAGAGGGGTAGGATAGCAGAGAGACACCATATCCTGTCCCATTTGCACTTGATTTATCAAACAATATGTAAAAGCTTAGTTAATGCAACTCTGACTGCAACTCATGTGCTTCACTTAGTAAATGTAGAAGCTACAGTAACGGCAAGAAACAAAGGGCAGCACTAAAATCAAGCTACTCAAACCTAATGAATGTCTCCCTCTTCTATCACCTGTTTTATCCATCTATTCCGTTTCTGCTCTTGTGGTTCAGGTTTTGGAAATTTCAATATTGTGTAGTTTTTACTTTGTTTGTTTCCTGTCTTTCCAACCATTATATTAATTGTGGGTTTCTTCTGTTCTCTTCTCATCCAGTGACACTGTGGTGATATCTTGTATAGGTTCAAGCTTATTGGTCCTCCCTCTCCCTCTCTTTCTCTCTCTAGGTGTAAATGACTTTGGACGGCCATCTGTTACTTAGCCACCCTGCAGAGAGTTGGCCTGCATGCACACCTCCTGAGTGTGTGTGTGTATATCTTCCTCTATGTTTAGTTGCACATGTGCAGTTATTGTATTCTTGTGTTTGAATGTGTTTATTTATGCCTATGTGCACATGCATAATACAGTAGGTTATGCATGTGTGTGTGACAGAAATGGAGTGGGAGAGATGCTTGTTTTTGTGTGTTTGGGCTCACTTGCACATGTGAACCCTGTATTTTTGTGCTTGTCTATGTAAGAAGAATGCTGTTTAAAATTTGGTCTCTGTCAAAACAAATTTCTTCCATTTCATGTTTTAAAATAACCCTTTAACAACAAAGGCCAAATGATCCTACAAATATAGATTACATTGTAATTATTATTAGTGTTGTTCAGTCTTTTTGCTTGCAGCTTCTTCACAGCAAGTGTCTTTCAGCTGCAAAGGCTCTGGGAAAAAAGGGAATGAAACAAGGAGCCAGCGTTATCTAGGTCCCCTCAGTAACAATCAAACACTTAAAAGAAAGTTGCTAAAAAGTTTAAATTGTATAGATTTTTTAAAAACCTTATTATTCTCTATGTGTTCCCTCAAATTAGTTCTGTTATTTCTGGGGAAACTTTCTAGGAAATTATTAGCAATTTCCTTTGCTGTGTGATACTTTCTCCACACTGCCAGAAATAAAATTAAAAAAAATTTGGTGGGAAAAAATATAAATTATTGATCTATTTCCAGTTTTAATGTCCTGGTGGTTAAAAACATGCTAGAATCAGTGCTCTCAAAATGGATAAAACCTCCAAATTCCCAGAATGTAGCTACAGCCTTAGTGGTTAGAGGACTTTTATTTTGAAGTAGCTGGACAGCAGCTACAGATTATTATTAACAGTACCTAGATAGTCAGGCTTATTATTAGTGTTATCAGGAGTGGAATTAAATTCAAAGCTCCTTTTGTTAGAGTTTGTCACTATCTCAGTGTCCCAATAAATTTAACACAACTCAAATATTTGTTTCCATGTCTTGCATCAGTATTTTTGCTCTTCATAGTAGTTAGCTGTTGTCGATTAACGATAAAGATCAAGCTCTTTTTGCCTTTAAGTGTGGGATATTTTACGATGTGGCAACTCCTGCTGTTTTTGCTAGTTCTAGTACTTTGAAGTGTGAAAAGGTCACAGAGAAAAGATGATTTGTGCTCATCATGCCATAGAAATATTGACAGTGAATTGACCTGCTGTACAACCCAATCAGTGTTTGTCCTGAAATCAGCCAATCAGGTTAGGCTGTTCTTTCAGTGTGGCGACCAGTGAAAATACTCTGTGCTCTGTGTGGAGTCACTTTGTGATTTGTTGATGTCTGAGATACCTGCATCGCTGCTGGAACACCCAGCTGTCCATTTTGACGGCTGAAGTCATACTCAAACAACAATACACCAGACATGATTAATTTCTGAGCCTGAGAGCATCACACACTGAAAAACAAGTCTCGAGCGTGGGAGAAGGAAGAAAACTGAGCTAATGGCTTTTTACTGAATTAAACTTCCCATGTGAAGCAGCGAGTGATTAAGGAGAATCTGCAGGGAAAGCAAATGTTGACTTCACTTGAAATGAATGGTCTGAGAGGGAAAGAACACAGCCAAACATGAACAATTATGATCCCTTCATTTCTCTGTACTCAACACTGTGAATCTAATTCTGTGTCCTAGTAAGTGATCTCTCTCTCTCTCTCTCTCTCTCTCCCTCCCCCTCCCTCCCTCCAGCTCTCGTCCAGGCCGCCCTCCAAAGCGTTGTTCTGGTGCAGGGATCCAGGAAAGCCCCAGGCTGCTGCACCCGGGCCTCCCTGGCCTGCTGTCGCCCAACCTGCTGTCCCATACTGGTAGGAGAGAAAGAATAATGATCCTTTATTTGTATTTATTGTTTTTTTTTTCTTCAATTTTTCTGACTCCATGGATTCAAGGGCCTTTTGTAAATGTTAGTGTGGGCTTACAGTAGTAAGTGTCACAGGCAGCAGCAAATCCTTTCACTGACTGCTAGATGTTGTTGAGGTCTGACACAGCCTGAGCAGAAAATCAACAAGCATACTTATATTTCATTTTAGTTAATTTTCTTTTATTTATAGCTGACAATGTGAAATAACATTGCTCTCCCAGTTTTTCTTGTATTATTAATTTGGGGTACCTCGCTCTAAAATTACACCCATTCATTTCACTGAAAGTTGTTTGCTCTGGAAAAGTTTTCCTCCTTCTGCTTCACTGTTGTAGGACAGGGTGCAATTTCCACTGGGAGAGAAGAGCCAAGTTGATAAAAAATGGTGATGCACTCATCTGAGGCAACTTCCGTTATTAGCATGTGCACAGAGCAACAAGTTTAGTGGTCAGTGAGTGCTATGTGTACATTTTTTGTGCCCTGGTTTTTGCCTCTCAGGCTGTATACAGCCTGCCCTACGGTTGTTGGAGCTATATGAAACCTGAAACGAATACCTGCAGATACTAGCCAGGGCTGAAAAGGGAACTGGCTAGTGAATTTTATCTACAGTTAATATCCTCCTAAAAAGATGAGTTCATAGAGTGTCCTTCACACTAACCAGCCCTACTTCCTTAGTGTGGCTGTGCAGCTGCAGACTTCCTTCTGGTTCAGTACTGCAGTTGGCCACTAGGAGAAACTGGCACTCATTTGTTACTTTCTCTATGCCCTCCTTCTTTGCTCTGGCTTTAATTTATCTCTTCTACAGTGATTCAGTTTTCTTGTACAACTTGTCCTCCTTTTCCTCCTTCAATTCATTCTGCCATCTCTGTTTCTACATCCCTCCGTTTTCCTCCCCTGCATCCTTTCATCCTGCACACCTTACCTGGTCGAGTTCCACTCAGCTCTTCCACCCTTCCTTCTTTTTTTCTCATCCCTCTTTCCTTCCTGTAGCACATACCTCCATTCCCTCCTCCTTTTATCCTATTGCACCTCTCCTTAGCCTGTCTCCTTACTTGCCTTCTTTTTTGTCCATCCTTTCTTGCTTTCCTCTCACCTCACTCTACCTCTGTTTCTCCACTCAGTCTGTTCTTCTCTTCTTAGTATCTGTCTTCCCTTGTCTTCTCATTCTCTCTTTAGGCTCTTCTACTCTCCATCCCTGCATTCACATCCTTCTCCATCTCTGAGAAAAAGAGATTTAAAGAGAGATTTTTTTTAAGCACAGAAAGTGAAGATGGAGAGAGAAAAATGATGAGTGAAAGACATAGGGGGACAATGGAGAGAAGAAAGGAGGGATGTTGCCAGAGGAGATGATAAAACCTAAAAATGAGTGCCAAAGAGAAAGAGAGGGAAAG